GAGTCCCTTACCCATTACTCATATTCTTACTCATTCAACACTACATTAAATTTTCAATAACAATCTGGCCCTTCACGCCTTATCATGTCCACTAGCTTATAAATGTTGGGATACGTTCAATCGCCTACTATCTGGCCGGACCACTCAGCATCCCACAGACCCATGATTAAAGCAAATCGCGACTCACGCCTCGCGAGAATTTTGGCCTCATCAAATATGAATGTGAGACCGGGTATCTTCGAATAAGCCGCGACTTGGGAATAGGTGTCATTTCTTCGCACTGCTGCCGCGTGTTCGGAAATTTGCGTCTTGATAAGCCCTTCACTTTCGCCAACGTACGTGTTCTGTCCACAACTGCATCTTACCTGACAGACGACTCCAGATGTCTCCTGCCGTGGCAGTTCGTCGTTTAGTTTTATTATCAGATGCCTAATGGTTGCTTTCGGTCTATGTGCGACGCCAACTGCAAGTGGTGTGAGAAGGCGGCCGACGGCCTCCGAAACGCATTTGGGTTCGGTGCGATTTTATCGCTAGTCTCGTTTGCGCATGCACCGTTTGACGAAGTTTCATGGGTAACCATTTTCTATGAACATCCATCGAAGATAGTGCAATCGTGATTCATCACAGTGCGCCTAAACACGCCGATGTAGCGTGCATACGCAACTGCGTTTATGGCCGATTGGGTGGTTTCTGTTAAATTTCAGCATGTGCATGTTAGTCGTCGCTTAACTTAACATTTTGGTCTTTAGGCCATCACTATCTTTGCGGCAGACGAGGACATAAGGGAAGGCCACCTGGTTGTTTTCTTCCTCCGCCATCGTAAATAATATGTGCGAGAAGACTCTCTCGGGACGTTCTTTGAACGTAAGTACCTGATCTCATTCGACGACGACGAAGGTATCATTCACGTGCCGCGCCCAGAATTTCGGTCTGCGGTGTTGGAAGACCAGCGACTCCACCCTTTGTAGTCTTTATTATCAAATATAATACTTTATGTAGCCATATCGGTCGCTTT